TCTGTGATTGCTCCAAGTCCAGCACTTTATCAAAGTCGACACTGAGAAGCTCATCTACGGTATTAGGAGGTAAGAAGAAAGAAAATGATTTATAAGAATCATCTTCCAATAATTCTTCAATGGACGCCAACGAGTAAACTGGTGCTTCAGCATGATTATCACTTTTGCCCTCGTCTGATTGAGTGGGGGCCAAATCTGTTCCAGGAATGGCTGAAAATTTTTCATGAAAACTATCTGTTCAGTAGAATATTAAAGACATGAATGCATTTATCATCCAGAAACTATCTAACTTTTTCTAAATTGAATAGATTAGCAATTTATGATGTACTGCAAACCTAGACATATTGAAGCCAAAAAAAGGTTCACCTGGTTGAGCATATTCACGTTCCAATGGCTGTGCACCATCCAGATACCTATCTGTATTTTCTGAAGGTTCTAGGCAAATATTTGGACGAGAACCAGAAGACGAAGAACTGTCAATCTCAAAATTGGGCACAATCTTTTCAGGTACCTGGGAATGAGGAATTTCTCCTTCAGTCTTTTTAACACAACTAAAATCTTCCATTCTTCCCTAATATAAATTCAGAAAAAGAATATTAAATAAGGGCTCTATAATGAAACTGTTCAGGCACCTTATTGACAAGAGTATAGATTACAAAATGTTTCTCCCTTTTTTTCTTTTTTCCAGTCAGACAATTACAAAATCTATATGATCCAATTTTACCATGTGAACAAACAGTTCATTATCCAGAAACAGATCCAAAATCTATATGTTATAAATAAAATTTATAAGAAAATATTGTACACATTATTACCCTATCCAAATCCATTACCCTATCTAAATTAAAAAAACTAATAAAATTTTATTGTTATAAAAATTCATTATAAAAAACATTGTAAATAATTTTTTTCTTTAGAAAGAAAAGATGTGCAATGGCCTTGGGAATATGGAGATGCTACTTGAGCCTCTTTAACATGATCAATATCTTCACTTTTTCCCTGATATAATTTCAGAAAAAGAATATAAGAAAAAAGGGCTGTATGATGAAATTGTTCATGCATCTTATTGACAAGGGTAAAGATTACGAAAAGTATTGGATCCCATCTGATTTTACTAATGTGCACGTCCAGTCCAGCGTCCAGAAACTTATCTTAACATCTGTAATATAACTTGCTTCTCTGACAGTAGACATTGAAGGCTTTAGATATAATTTTTAACAAGTCCTCACAATGCTGTGATACGAAAGTGTGAGGTTACTTTCCTTCAGAAAGAAGGCATCAAGATAGTAGAACGGGAGGAAAAACATAGCATAAATCTGGCACATGACAAACGGCAACATTTTTATCACCCTATGGAAACAACTGTTCATTTTAAAGTACAACTTAACAGCAAGCACTCGGATGGTTGGGGATGAGGATACTGGTAAAGAAAAATAAAAGATGGAGACCGAAAAGGAACGTCTTTGAAGAAATGAAGGAAAAAAGACCAAGTCCAAGGAAAAAGGAGTAAAGACATTCCTGGTTGGAATCAAGGAATGAATTACTTCACATACCCAAACATAATAAAGCTCTATAGTTAAGAATAATCAAGAGTTAGACCCAACATTAACCATCTGATAGTATATTTCTAACAATACATCTATATGCTCCTATAAATATTTCCAAATGAAAAAGACAACATAGTATGACATGATATACTACATATCTCATCATAAACACTATGTAATACAGCTATAAATTACAGTGACAGACTATACCAGAAACCAAAATCAAGTCAATTCCCACAAAAAACCCAAAGTCAATGAAATTGTGTCTTGCTGGCCGAAATTTTGCAAACTCAACGGAAAAATAAAAGGAAAATGAACATAATCAATGCATGAGTGTCATAACCTGTCCTTAAATGCATAGAATAAAACCTGTTAGTCCTTAATTGGGGGGACTTGATTGTAAGAAAAGGAAGGTTGGTGATTGCATGGCCAATTTCGTAAAAGTTGCTTAGTGGAGTTTGATTGACTAGCACTAGCTTTTCATGTTTACACTTGTCTTATACATAAGTGGCGTGGGAGCTAGTGGAAAATCATCAGCAAAAACCCGTGGTCTGATGCATGTTTTGATTTAAACATTTGAGAACTCTTTTACTTTCATTTTCTTTTTACAACCAAGAAAGAGGAAGAGGAAGAAAGGTTTGCGAAGGACAGCTTCTGTTCTCATCTTTTTACAGTGTTTCCTACTTAGCAACTGGTATATATTTGTGTTTATGGGCCGACCCAGAGGAAAGTAACAGTTAAGGAGCTGCTGATCAACCAGTGAAGAAATTGAAGGAAATCCAAAGAAGTTCCACCCAAGCTAGCAATGGGTTTGTGTGGTAAGTACAAGTTACTGCTTTTGTAGCTTAATTACACGTAAGATGGTAATTTCATGGTTTAAAATGACTCTGGAATTAAGCCAATACAAGTTGAAGTGGGTTAGAATACTATACAAAGCTTATTAGTGATGGGTTTTTGACATGCAGGTGGAGATTAAGGATTAGAATCAATTACTTATTGTGTTTGAGAATGTTTATGACTTGTAGACATAATAGATTAAGTTCAATGCTGGCTGTTGTTAAAGATAGCCAGTATATAATAAACCAGCAAATAAACTTGCAAAGGCTAATAGGCTATATGGTAGCTATGCTGTAACTGGAATGAAGATGGGAGTCCAACCGTATAAAAGTAATAAAGGGATGAAATAGTTATAATAACCAGATGTATAGCCTGCAGTTGGTTCTATTGACATGGGGATTTTTGTATTAAATATTCTAGGCATCTCAATTGTATATGCGTATCAGGTTCACCGGTTATGATGAATGAATGTAGACTGCCTATATTCTGTAATCATATGTTGATACCCAAAAGATGCTATCAGATCTATTTGTTATTGAATGCTTATGATCAAAATGACATGAGTTATAGTTAAATGATATTCAATGGTCAGTGATGATTATTATTGATATTGATGATCAATGAGGTAAAAGATATTAAGATCCCATTGAGAGCATTGAAACATTGTCGCATACAACCTGCATTGCATTGTTTTCTAGGGGGGTATTGACCTGTGCTAAAAGCTAGGTACTATTGTGCTCAAGTGAGCAGCCATTGTTATTGTTAGTGACCACTCTGCAGTTAGGCATGCCATGACAAGTTCTGGCAGAATGTGAGTGTACCACATATTGATTAGTTGACCCCATGCCATTGTATTTGTATTGAACACATATCCCTAGAATACTTTCTGTCATCAAGGTCATCAAGGTTAAGGTATTGGACATACTTTCTGAGATTAAGTATTGAAGCATGAATTGAGTGTGCTTGTTTGCTAATAGCTTTATTGATAAGTCCCTGCTTGATGTTTTTCCGATTATTGATTACAGGTTAATTCAGCTAAACCTACTGTTTAGTGTTCTGTTATAACTACAAGCTTATGATGGATTAACCAAACGATCTTCCTAAATTGGTTAAGAGTTCTATCATGGCTCTAAGCTGCATCTTATACTTATTGGAAGCTGTAACTTATACTTATTGGGTTTCATAGCCCACATGGTCGCTTTTCCAACCATTTCAGATAGTCCTAAGAGTGTAGTATAACTGGGAATTCTCGAAATTTGTGAGCTTTCTGTGGTTGCTATTGTGAACAAGGCAACTAGCTTACTCAAGCTTACTCAAGATTTTTAAGATAAACTTGAATCTGCCCAAAACTGTATCCTGCCTCAAAGTTCTTTGAAAACCTATTTTGGTCACTTGTAAAACTATTATACCCATTTTTTTAAAGAAGAATTTATTTGCTGACCATATGTACAATCTAGACTTTGGAACTAAACAGTGATTTTTCTTGTTTAAGCCAATATTTTAAAGTTTAGGCTTCCTACACTATTGACATGATTTTTCTAAAGCTATTTACAACATTGCAAACTTTAATATAACAGCTTAGGCTATAAACTACAGACGGTTCCACATGGATTTTGTTTTCTACCCTGCTAAAATCTTCTTGAATTTTTCTTAAGTGAATGCTCCTTTTTATTTAAAACAGGCACTGTTTTAAGTCATAGTGCAGTCTTGACCTTTCTAAGGGAAGGCTTCAGTTTTGCTTATGACAGTGAGCCATGAAAATAAGAGTAAAATGAACATAATCAATGCATGAACTTATCATTTGCCAGTTCATTAAATAAAGAATGAACAAATTATCTAGCACATGGATGTTTCATCACAGCATTTGGCTGTTCTAGTTCTGTTGATCACTTGCTCTACCTAGACTCAAGACTGTGCTCTTAAATTGACTTAATATAACTTCAAATTTTCAGCTTAATTAGTAAATTTGTAAACTGCACCAGTCATATGATCTCCTTAGGAAGTAAGAAGTAAAAAGTTGAAAATAAAATTCATAAGTTCATTTCAGACGATGGCTAACAAAAAAAGAAG